ACAGAGAAAATCTGCACAAATTTCACAGGAGAGGAGGTCCTCTGACCACAATAGGATACTGGACAAAAGTAATCACGAAAAATGCCTATTCAGGTCCTTTGTTTCATTTTGTATATGGATTGTTTGCTTTTCTACTGTTGAATTGTAGTTCCACATATTTTTGACATTAATTCCTTATCAGATATGTGCTCGAGAAAATATTCTGTAGGTTGCCTTTTCATTGTGTTGATCAGTCATGTTGGTGTGCAGAAACTTATTATCTTTTCATTGTAGAAATTTATTTGTTCATTTATTACATTCCTTATAGAGAATTCTGCTGTGAATAGAGCATTCAAAAATTGTTAAATATAATTTGTTTTACAACTATTCTGACATATAGAATTATGGACACCAGAAGATGCAAAAATGAAGGAGGTACAGTTTTTGTCTTCACGGAGTTGTTAGTGTATTATGGAATATGAAACAATTAGAATATTGCACATTAAAATACCAAATGATGTATAACCATGTAGCCTAGCTGTTCACTACTCTTTTGTTCTTGTCTTTTCAACGTGTTTCTTTCCTAAATTTTAAGTACATCTTATTAAAGCGTAACCTATCTACACAAATTACACAAATCAAAGGGTGTACCTGAACTCACAAAATGACGCACCCATGTATCCACAAGCATACTGAGAAGTAGAACATTGTATAGTCCCTTGCCTGAGGGGTGATTATGCCAACTTCCATCACTGTATATTGACTTTGACAGTTTTAACAATTTATGAATGGAATTATTGAGTACTTTTGTTTCTCTCTTGGCTTTTTTCACTCAAATGATGTTTGCGAGCAGACGCTTTTTAGTTTGATGTAAACCCACTTGTTTACTGTTGCTTTTGTTGCTTGTGCTTTGGGTGTCACATCTATAAAATCATAGCCAAGACAAATGTGAAGTAGATTTTTCCCTATGTTCTCTTCCAGAAGTTTTACCATTCCAGGTCTTATACTTAAGTTTTTATTCTATTTTGAGTTAAGTTTTGCAGATGGAGCAAGGTAAGGGTCCAATTTCATTCTTTTGCATGTGAAATTCCACTTTATTAAGGAGACTGTCTCCTTTTATTGAGGAGCACCATTTACTGAGGACACTGTCTTTTCTCCTTGACTATTCTTGACTCCCTTGTCAAATATTAGCTGACTGTGTATGCATGGACTTACATCCAGGGACCCAATTGTGTCCCATAGGTCTATGTGTCTGCTTTGGGGCCAGCACCATATTGGTTTGATTACTATAGTTTTGTAATCAACTTTGAAATAAGGAAGTGTGATATCTCCTGCTTTGCTCTCCTTACTGAGGATTGCTTTGGCCGTTGGTTGCTATGCCACAGCCTTTATGAAAGGGACTGTGACAGTAATGAGCAAGATTATATGTGTTTTCACCCTTTATTCAGCAATAGTAGTATATCTAGGGATCAACCTCAAAGACATACTGATAAATATTGCTAAAGATTATGTCACAATTCTATTCACTGTGGCTGTATTTGTGACAGCCAGAATAGAAACAACCAAAGTGACTGAATCATGGTACGTTCACACAATGGCTGTTGAAAGGAATGGGAGATGCCTCTACAGAGCACTATGGGGTGGTCTCAAGGATATTTTTCTCCAGCTTTACTGGGTATAATTGTATCCCCCCCCCAAAAAAAAAACCCAACAACAACCATTCAAACTCCATATTAGTGTATACCATCTCATGAGTTTGGGCATATATATGCACACATCGGTGTAACCGTCTCCACGATCAACATAATAAACATATCCATCACCTCCAGAAGTTTTTCTATGTCCCTTTGTTATTTTCTTTTGGTTTGTTTTTGACTTTGCTTTCTTGTGAGAAGAAAATTTAACGTGAGATTTACCCTCCTGACATGTTTTTATGTGCACAGGACCTCTTATTCAAAGTGTTTAATATAGTCAAACTTATGGAAACAGACAATAGAATGGTGGTTGCCAGGGGAGGGGGAAGAGGGAGCATGGAGAGCTGTTGTTTAATTGGTATAAAATTACAGTTATTCAAGATGTTCTAGAGATAATATAGTGCCTATACATAACAATGAAGGCCATATTTCCAAGTGAGAAAAGGCAAAGTGGAGGAGTTTATATAGATTATGCAGCAATTATCTAAAGAGGAGGGAGTATACTGAATGTCTGTCTCTCTGATGAGAGATACAGTTCTGATGGCCAGGTAATACCAGTTGCCCCATTCTTTGAGCCGTTAAGGAATCTGTTGAATATACCCCTCCATGAGGTTTGCTTACCCTGGTGTCCCCACTTCTCACTTCTACCCAATGTTGGCTGTCTCTGGGGGTGCCTGTTCACCCACAAACAACTTTTGACAAATTGCTCAATATTTGCTCCAGATCATTCCATTTTTTCATTATCAATTAATACTTGCCTTACGCGTTAAGCTGTTCTTGCTCAGAAACCAGAGGTATCAGGCCTTTATGGCCCTGCAGTGTTCATGTGACCTACTTTGGGAGAGGTGCCTTTCTGGGCAAGGGTTGAAGGTAGTGGAATGCTGGAAGGGGCTCTTACTGGAACATAAGAGCAAACTTGACTCTTCAGGAGTTTTGCGAACCAGCTGTTGAACACACCTGTTTCAAAGACTGAATTCTATAAAGTAGCAATTACATTACCTGCATTATATTGAAAACAATCATAATACATACTCAAAACTCATCAATCTCTAATCACTTTTCCTACATCTTGAGGTTATGTACACTTATTGCATCTGCATGGTGGAAATGCATCTCTTCCACACTCTGCATTAATTGAGATGAGGTCAGTAGCTTGAAATTGGCAAATGCTATAGCACAGGACATTTCCCCCAAACCACCCCCTCCCCCAGAGAGCATGTTGTTAAACATTTGCTCGCATACCACTGGTTGAAATTGATCTACTCTGCAGATGCTGCAGATCTGCAGATGTGATGGATATCATCAGATCTAACCAGTGCTGTTGTAAAACACATGAGAGTCAAGACCTAACGTACAGTATCCTACAAAGTGATGTTTTAAATCTGAACTGGAGTAGTACATGACTAAGGATGGTTCACAAAAAGGTTGGATATTTGACATTTGTAACAAAGTCCTACGATGCCCATAATATGCCACCGTTAAGAGGCGTTATAAAAAGATATAGAGCAGTGTTCGTACACGCATGCACACGTGCATTTGTGGGGGGTGGGGGAGGATGCATCAATATCAGGTCTAAGAGGCTCTCCATAGAAGGGCAGGTGGGACCAGAAAAGTGAAAGGGTACAGGGAAATGGGGCTCACTCCTTCTCCCAATCTCCATGACTTTATTTCTCTTTTCCTCCCTCGTCTCATGCCACAACCTTTAATGCCAAATACATTTTCTCCTTTACCAACTCAGCTGTGGGACCGTGGTGCACCCAGGACACAACTGCATAGCAGGGTTTTAGGCCTTTTCCAGACAACACTGCTTCCTTCCTCTGTGACAGCACGGCCTTGTCTATCTATTACTGAACGAGGAGGGGTTTCGAAATCACTGATTTAAGTAGCAAATCAGGGAAAGAAGGAAAGCGTGAGATGGACGTCAGTCTTGCCCTGTGTGCTAAGTGACTTTGCAGGTTTATCTGGCATTAGATAAGGAATATAAGAAGCTTCACTTCTCAAGGCCTGAAACAAGAAAGCATAAGCTGTCATCAGATGTCATCACCATCAATCAGGAACGGAGGGAGAAAACACGATGGGAAATAGTCAGCGACCAAGCACATCCAGTCGAGCTTTCCATCTTCCGGGCGGGGTCTCCAGGTCCTCCTTTGTTTGGAACATCAGCAGAGGACTGAGAAACAAGTGATGGTAAGATCTGATCGACTACTGCATTTTGTTACCTCGAATAGGAAACAAAAGAACTGTTTTTGAAAGACTCTTCTCACTGGATGTCTACTGCTTCAAGTTTTGAATCTTTCACTCAATGGTATATGTATATAGACATACCATCAAGATGTAGGAAAAGTAATGAGAGATTGATGAGTTTTGAGTATGTAGTATGATTGTTTTCAGTATAATGCAGGTAACATAATTGCTACTTTATAGAATTTACTCTTTAAAATTTATGAAATTATTAGTTAATTTAGGACCTGGCAAAGAGAAGGGAGTCATCCCCCATCCATCTTTGGTTATAAATTTCCCCTAAAACACTTGTGCAACTTACCTGTACTCATACAGTGTGTTTCCTCATAGGTAAAAGGGTGGTTATAATGCTTAGCTCAGAAAGCTGCTGTGAGGCTGTATGTGTTTAGCATACAGTGGGCACAAAATAAATAAATGATAATGATTCTTCTTCATATTTCGTGGGTCCTTCAAAAGTAAGTTCTGGGTCTAATTCATGTTCCTTCTTTGATTCTTCTGGCCCTGGTTTCCTTCAGTGTCTGCCACTGTAAAATACATATTGGACTAGAATTGAACTGGCATTCACTTGGCTATAGTGGGCTTGAATGGATGTTTTCTTTGGCCCACGTACAGAAAACCAGAGCCAATGTTTTAAAACTGAGATATTTTACATAGAAATCTAGAAATCCATCGTCTCTTGAAAAATCAGGAGATGTAGCAATGAGGAGTCCACATCCCCACATGACAACAATAGGCTGGAGCCAGGTGGCAGCTGGTCCCTTAGGTAGAGCATGCACTGTCAGTTGGCCAGAGTCTATCTGGCCTGCTCTGCTCATTCATAAGACTTGCTTGACCCTGCAGACAACTCAATTTGGGGCCCTCTGGCCAGCTGGAAACAGTCTATGCCAGGCAGAAGGTAGGCACTTATTTTAAATGAGGAAAACCTTTATCCCCCCTTTCTTCACTACCCTTTTCTTGTCTAGTCATGCTAAGGAAGCCCAGTTATTGAGTAAGGCGATTCTCACTTAGAAAAGTAAATTGAACAAATCTGTTAGAGTCAGGAGAGTCTACGTTATACTGTGGTAGCAAACAACTCCTATATCTCAGTGCCTTACAACAATAAGAGTTTATTATTTGTTCACACACACAAACCTAGACACAAAATGAAAACACCCTTATATTTTGACAAGCATGGGTACATACATGAGTGAATGGGTATGTTTGCAATCATGAGTCAAATGAAAACTCTTACATATGAACATATGACCTCCCACAGAACCCTATTTAGAGACTGACTAGCTTAGACCCCATGAAGCTGTTTTCATAAGAGACATAAAAAGGCCCCAGAATCTAGGCATTAAAGGATGGGGGGGGGTGCAAGAATATCCACTCTCAGCCAAGGAATTGCCCCATATCATAAAAAGAGCCTGGAAAGCTTATAAAAGAACCTAGAGGTTAAAGAAAAACACGTTAAGCATTTTGGACTTTAAACATTTTGTAAATGCATAAATAGGCAGTACTCTACTGAGGCCTCCTCTTATGGGTTTCTAGCTCAAGAGCGAGATGCACTCCAGATAGCCGGTAGGAAGAGAAATGGATCTGCCAAGCCTGGGTCAGAGAGAAGGGCTAGAGGGCTGGAGTCCTCTATCTCCAGCAGGAGCTGCAGATAGAAAGGAAGACGTTAGAGCCAGGTCACATTCATTTCCCCTCCTGGCTCTCCCCTCTTTTTTGTTCTACCCAATCGAGGCTTTGTCACCTGGACGACAGCACAGAACTCTTCCTCACTGATGTGTTCATTTTGGTTCTTGCCTCCTCCAATCTCTCCATCAAAGTCACTATATATATATATATATATATATATATATATATATATATTTTTTTTTTTTTTTTTTTTTAGTCAAGCCTGGGATAATTGAATATACTCTTCCCTAGCTCAGACATTCCCTGGCTCCTCACCACCCACAGTTTTGGGTCTAGCTCCTAAGCCTGGCATTCTAGACCTCTGTGACCAGTAGCCTCTCCAGCCTCATCCCTTTCCATTCCAGCAGTTCCTCTAAGGTTTCTGCTTCACTCAAACACCACACCCCATCCAACATTTTGGTCTGGGAGTGCCCAGCCTTCCCTCTCAACCTTCCCAGGACTCTATGTCTCCTCAGACCTCAGTCCTTCCTCTCCAGACTGATCATAAAAATTTAGCCACAAAACACAACTAGTGAAGTCATCCAGGCTCGACATTTAGACTGGAGGCAGAGACAAGATCTCCCTCCAGGCTAGGCTCTTATCACTTGTGTATAAGAGCTCACCACAGCATATTGCAGAGGTCTGGCTAGAAAGCTCTGAGATGGGGACGCCTGGGTGGCTCAGTCGGTTGGGCGTCCAACTTTGGCTCAGGTCATGATCTCACGGTTCGTGGGTTCGAGCCCCACATCGGGCTCTGTGCTGACAGCTCAGAGCCTGTTTTGGATTCTGTGTCTGCCTCTCTCTCTGCCCCTCCCCTGCTCATGCTCTGTCTCTCTCTGTCTCAAAAATAAATAAACATTAAAAAAATTAAAAAGAAAAAGACAGCTCTGGGATGGGAGTGAGGAGACCTGGGCGTGCCACTTGATATGCTGCATGCCCAGCCACTCTCAGGGCCTCAGTTTCCTTGTCTCTTGACACCAGGGCACTGGGCATTTCCTGCTGAGCACGGAGCTCTGACGGTTCACTGAGCAACCACCAACTACCATCTCTGGCATCAGGCTGAGGAGCTTGGGTGCCTGGGCCCAAGGAGGTTCAACCCACCAACCCATACCTCTCAGTTAGGCCCTGCTTACCACAGTGTCCTCCCATTTCCCAACCATCCCCACCCCGTGCTGTGCTCTCCTTTCAGGGACCAGGCTACCTGCTGCCGTGCAAGGCTGGAGCAGGGGAATGGGGCCAGAAGATGCCTGAGAGGAGTTTCTCAGCATCAGCAGAGCCTCAGCGGCTTCCAGCTTCCGCTGCCACTCTGAGGAGGCAGAAATCGAGTCCTGATCAGAAGTTACAGGAGCCTGCAATGGAAAGGGTGTAAGAGAATGGGAACTGAAAACCATGCCTCCCCATGTTCTGCAATTGTCTCTTCAGCTCCCGGTTCCGCTCAAGGCCCCACCCACCCCAAGGCCATCTGCCCTTCCCATGTACTAAGCTTGGCCCCTGCCTGGGTCCTGGACCCCGCTATTTTCCAGGATCTGTGGCCGCAGTGAGGACAGGGTCAAGGGTGGTACATGGCTGGAGGGCCAGAGCTGAGCATCTAGAAACAAGGAAGGAGAGGCCAGGGGATCAAACCCTCTGGCAGACACATATTACCAGTACACAGACAGGGCCAGGATGTTGCAGTATCTGGATGTGGGAATCTGAGTGCCTGCTGGCCATTAGTCGTTGTGGCTTGTGCAAGTCCTTTCCCCTGTTTGGCCAGCTTTCCTTTCTATGTCCTTCCTCTATATCTTTCCTGAGACACCCATTCCTGCCAGCAGTTTCAAAACTCTCGGGGCAACAGTGACGAGTGTGGGAAAATACAGGTGTCTGCACTTTAACCTGAAAAGCACCTGGAGAGATGTGATGACTGTCCCTGTCCAGGGACTGGTTCTCACCTCCATACTGCCCAATCCCCATGGAACTTGAAGGACCAGCTTGGCTCATCTCCAGGAAGCTTTCTCTAAGGGCCTCTGGACTCTCCCCTGGGTTTTGTGGCCCTCACCACCATGGCCCGCCTTTCAGCGGGACCTTCTATCCCATCAGTCTGTTTCATGTGGAATAACAGCACCCATTCGTTGAAGTCCTGCTATGTGGCACAACTTGGCCTGGTCCTCTTGTCAATGCTATAGGCTTATGATATTGTCCCCATCAGTACACCACTAAGGAAATGGAGGCTTGGAAGTGTAATGTCACTTGTCCAAAGTCTCACAAATAGGAAATGGCAAGGCTGGGAGAACCCTGCCCTTGCCCACTAGTCTGAGATGCTGCCTCCTCCTCCCCTCCTCCTGCTCCTCCACCTCGTCCTTCTCTGCCTCCGACTTCTGGTCCCGCTCCTCTCCTCCCCCTCTTTCTGCTCCTCATCAGTCGCCACCTCCACTTCCCCCTTGTATCTCCCATGGCATCAAGCACAAAGGTTGGCCATGCAATAACACAGTATATAGCTAGCTCTGTGGTCGTTCTCAATTTACGCACATGCTGGACAGGGCAGAGGTCCTGTGGGTCTTCTTGGAAAGAGAAGTTGTCAGTTGCATCTTCAAGGCTGCTGGAGTCCAATATAGAGACAAAGATTTTGGGGCCTGACCAATCAGCAGACCTCTTTGGGTGCTTGCCTGCAGGAGCAGAGAGCGCAGGGTGGAGTGTCAGTACCAGGCCTGCCATGGAGAGGAGACGTGGGTATGTTGTGGGATGAAGATAGTAGCCCAGAATGTCAGAGCTGGAAAGACCTTGAGGACCAGTCAGTTCCTGCTCTTTATTTTCCAACCGGGGAAATTGAGGCCCAAGGAGAAGTATTATTTCCCCAAAATCATATGGCAGGCTGCAATCGGGCTAGAGAGGGAATCCATGTCTTCAGGACAAAGAGAAAAGAGTCTGGGCAGTGGCTGAGATGGGAACCTCCTCACAGCCCCCAGACTCTCCTTTCCTCCCCGGGGTTGCACAGGGGTGGGCCTCAAACTGGGACATGATGCTCTCCTTCCCAGCTGGGGAAAGCTGAGGACACGTTAGACGAGCCTTTCCCCCCTGAACCCACCCCACTCTACCTCACCCCCAATCTGAGGTCTCATCTCACTGTGGACCATTTCCACCCTCCAGATTGCTCCTTCCCACCAACACTTGGTAGATTATACTGATGAAGTTTTATGAGTGGGGCATCTAACGCCCCAAGGAGTAACTTGCCAAGGCCACATCGAAATTGGGTAGTAGGACTGGTGGCAGAACAGTTCGTGCTCCCTGCACCCAAACCCAGATGCCCTCCCTGGCCAGAGACACTCACTGACAACTCCTCCTTGAATGGTCAACTTCTGGACATGGCTGTGAGCTTTGGTAGGGGAGGCTCCACTCATTATCAGTCCTTGAGTCAGGTGCCTCTTTAGGCATGCCCCCTGCTCCCTCTTCAAGGCACTCTCAGCAGGCAAGATTTCCCTAAAGTGGGGGATTTCCAGTCTACAGTCAGACACGTTTAGAGAAGCATTCCCCCACCCCCACTGTCAGACACCATACTCACGAGAAGAAGGCACACTTGTGACACTCGCAAGCCTGGAAGGGGCAGGAGTGCTCCTGGTCCTTGATTTGCTCATCGAGGCCGTGGTTGTAGCAGCGGGCACAGCGACTTACAGTTCTTTTGGGGCCAAGTTCGATCCCCCATGGGGCTCCAGTCTCAAGCCCAGTGAGGGGGTCAGAGGTCCAGCAGGGAACAGCAGGCATTTCATTGGGATCCATGGTTCTAGGGCCAGGAATGGATGTCAGGATGGCCACATGATCCCCTACCCTCAACGTACTTCCTCTGCCCTTCACAATCCCCACCTGAGGTGCCTGGATTCTTCTTCATCCAGCTCACCGCTGAAATCGGATCGCACCCACCCTTCTTGCTCACACAGCCTCCTTCCCAGAAGGCTCCACTCACGCAAAGCCTCGTTCCAGGCAACTCGTGGCATGGTTCCTGTCAACTTTCAATCGAGTCATCATTCTCCTTGCCTACCTTCACTCTACAGAGACCCCGTGTTTAGGCATATACATTCAGTCTTGTGCCCCCTTCAACGATTCCTGCCCTCCCCTCCTCATGTGTCATCCTGTGTTCTGCTATACCTATTTTTCCTGGCAACCACTTCCATTGTTGTCTCCCTAACCTCCTGCATTTATTCACTCCCTACTCATGACTCTATGGCTCCTGCACTCAATTCTGTTATTAGTCTCATGTACATCCTACATTCAAATTTCCTCTCACCTCCCATTCTGATCTTCTTCTGCACCCCACTGTAATCTTAACTATTCTCTCCCCCCGCTTAAGCAGAAACTCCTTTGTACCCCGTGAGATTATATTATGCTGCTGGATCCCAAGCCCCTCCTTTGATAATTATGTCTTATTCATCCCTTCAATTAGTCATTGACTAGATCCCTGTTGAGCCCCCTGTGGAATGCCAGACCCTGATCTGGTTAACAGCCAACTCCTCAATGCACTAATTGTTTTCTTCCACCAGCACACCCTCTCTGCTTTCATTTAAACCCATGCATTCCCTACACAGCCTCCCAACAATCTCCCATGATTCTCTTCACGCTCCAACAGTTATGCTTGGGTACACCTTCCCCATCCTCCAAACCCAGGGTGTACCACCTCATCTCCAGGCAGCCCAATAATGCGCTGCCACTACCACATCAAAATCAAAGGCAAGGGCATACGCCCTGCCTCAGGTTCCAGACGCTAGGAGTCAGGGGTCTGAGGCAAGAGATCCACCCATAGGCATGCCGAGGTGGTTGGGTGGGGGTGGGGGTGCGGGACACTGAGTGAGACATCAGGAGCAGACGGAGGGACCCCACTGAGGTGGAGGAGAGGGGAAGGAGTTGGTGATCCAGAACAGGAAGGAGGGAGGAAAGAAGATGTGTGGAGAACGAGGGTTATATTCCCGATGCCACCCTGTGGTTACCTCAGCCTCCAACCACAGCGACAGGAGGTGGGAGGGAAGACCAGTTCTCTCTCCCTTTCCCGCTCTTTGCACAAACGCTAATGAGCTTCCAGCGCAGCTTTCCTCCTCCCACGTCAGTGGACTGAGACCAATGAGCTTCGAGGTCCACCGGAAGTCAGCCACCAAAGTCCCGCCCCCTTGCTCTCCTCCCACTTCTTCACGTGCAGGCTTTACCACGCCTGCCAGTGAGTAACTCCTGAAGTGAGGTGGAGGTTTGTAGTCCCCCAAACCTTGTTTCCCAGACTTTAGAACAAGGGTTGTATGCCCGATGCTAGCCTATGGTTACCTCAGCCTCCAACCAGCGACAGGAGGTGGGAGGGAAGACCAGTTCTCTCTCCCTTTCCCGCTCTTTGCACAAACGCTAATGAGCTTCCAGCGCAGCTTTCCTCCTCCCACGTCAGTGGACTGAGACCAATGAGCTTCGAGGTCCACCGGAAGTAAGCCACCAAAGTCCCACCCCCTTGCACTCCTCCCACTTCTTCACGTGCAGGCTTTACCACGCCTGCCAGTGAGTAACTCCTGAAGTGAGGTGGCGGTTTGTAGTCCCCCAAACCTTGTTTCCCAGAATTTTCTCCCTTTGGATGTGAAATACTACATGTGCATGTGTTTTAACTCATGTACTTTGTATTCTATTCTGTAATTTACTTTTATAAAATTCAGTGTGTGTTTTTAAGATTCATCCATAGTCTTGTGTCAGATATTCTCAATCAGGGGACATCCTGCACCCCCAAGGAACATTTGGTAGTCCAGTAGTTCCTGGAGTCAATTCAGTCCGCCTTTGCATATCTCAGCTTCTGAGCTCCCTGTCTGGTTCGTAGTTAAATTTGTCTATTCCTGTGCCGATACTCCAGCATCTTAGTTTTTACCTCTCATCAGGATATCTTGATCCATGGATGGTAGGGCAAGTCCCCACAGCTTATTCATAATCTTCAGGCATATCATTCTTGTTCTTCACCTTTTGCCCTTCCAGCATATATGTTAGAAGGAACGTGTCATGTTCCTTGAGAACTCACTTGCAACAGATTTGGTATGCATTTTCATTGAATCTGCGGGTCTGTTACGGGAGAATTGGCTATCTTTTTGACACTCAGCCTTCTTAGTCACCAACATGGCATGTCTTTCCATTTATGTGGGTCTTCTTTAACGTTTTAATCCTTTAGTTTACTATTTAGTTTTATCTTTTCTACATTCAGATCTTGTGCATCTTTTAATGTATATCACCCAAGATACTCTAGAGTGTTGTTGCTCTTATACTGTACTTGATATCTTTTTAAAATGACATTTTCTAATTGTATCTAATTTATAGAAATCCATTTGACATTTTAAAAACTATATTGACCTTAAAGTTGGCCACCATGCTAAACTCTGTGATATCTAATAATTTGTCTTTAGGTGTCTGTGGTTTTCTATGAATTTGTGAGGAAGAGAAGTACAATAATCAATTTACAGGTTTCTTAAGCCTTTACTGGCTGGTTTGGACGTCCACTACAAGGTGGAACAGACATGGCAAAATTGGACCTCTTTGGGTTGTCCCTAATATTAAATAGAATGCTGCCAACATTTCCATATTAAAATGTGTTTGCTGCTTTCCATTCTTTTCTCTCCCTCCCCCCTCCCTCCATCTGTCTCCCTTCTTTCCTTCCTTCCTTCCTTTCCTCCCTTGTTTCTTCTTTTTTCTTCTTTTCTTTTGTTTTCTTTTCTTTCTTTCTTTGTCTCTCTCTCTCTCTTTCTTTCTCCCTTCCTTCCTTCCTTCCTTCCTTCCTTCCTTCCTTCCTTCCTTCTTTTTTTCCTTTCTCTCTCTCTCTCTTTTTCTCTATTAGTTTAAGGGGCTTCCTCTATATTTCTAGGTTAATAAGTTTGTCTTAAAAATCATGAATAGAGGGGCACCTGAGCGGCACAGTCAGTTAAGTGTCCAACTTTGGCTCTGACCATGATCTTGCGGTTCATGGGTTCAAGCCCCACAGCAGGCTGTTTGCTGACAGCTTGGAGCCTGGAGCCTGCTTGGGATTCTGTATCTCCCTCTCTCTCTCTCTCTGCTCCTCCCCTGCCCACACTCACTTGCCCACTCTTTCGCTCTCTCTCTCTCAAAAAAAAAAATAAAAACATTAACAATGTTTAAAATCATCAATAGATATCAAATTTTACTTTTCTGTCTCTACTGAAATGATCAAGAATCTGTTTAGTCTGTTAATACAGTGACTATTATTTGCAGATGCGTTTTTCAAAATCTTTAGTGAAGTTTATAACCACAAGAGGACAAAAACAAAATTGTGTATATTAATAAGTTTTCAAAAATTAAACATACACATTCAGTCAACACCTAGAGCAAGCAGCAGAATATATTAGCAATACACAAACCCCTCTCATGCCCTCTTCCATCTATATTTTTCAAATATGAATCCAGCTTCATTCTCCTAGAATAAATGTAACTTTGTTATGGTGGATCATCTTTTATAGATACTTGTGGGTTCAGTTTCCTAAAGATTTGCTTAGGAATTTTTGCGTCTTCTGTTCATGAGCGAGATAGACTTGAAGTTTCCCTTTCTCATACTATCTTTGCTGCTTCCAGCGTCAAGGTTTTCTGGTTTTCTTTTTCTTTTTAATTTTTTTTATTTATTGAGAGAGAGAGAGAGAAAGGGAGAGAGAGAGAGAATCCCAAATAGGCTCTGCACTAATAGTGAGGAGCCCAACGTGGTGCTCAAACTCAGGAACCTGTGAGGTCATGACCTGAGCAGAAATTAAGAGTCAGACGCTCAACTGACTGAGCCACCCAAGTGCCCAATCAGCGTCAAGGTTTTCTAGTCTCATAGACCGAGTTGGGGAATAGTTTCTCTTTTCTACCCTCTGGGAGTTTTTGCATAAAATTGGGATTATCTGTCTTGATACTTTATTAAAACTTGATCACTAAACAGCTGTGATGCCTGTTTTCCTCACTTTTTTTTTCCTATTGTAATGTGGATAATTTCAAACATATATAAATAGAGTTTGTATGCAAACTTACAGTCTCCAAGTTCATTACGGCAGAGCTGTGGTCCAGGAACTCTAGCTGGCATCAGATTCCAAATAGGCCAAAGAGTGTGTGAAAACAGAATGCTGAGCTTTCCATCTATAGTCTCAGATTAAAATATCTGGGGTGGGACCCAGAGTTTGCTTTTCGACAAGTTGCCTGGTGGTGCAAATGCTGCGGGTGGGGAATCACACTTTGAGAAACATTTTATATACAAGACAGAATGGCGAGGGAATCTCCAAGTATCCATTACTGGATTGCAAACATTAACAACTCATACCCAATTTCATTTCATATAGACCTTCTCCCCTTCCTCTCTTACAGATTATTTTCAGGAAAATACCAGAAATCATTCTACCTTATTGTGGAATGTTTTACCACGTAGCTCTAAAAAATGAGCAATCCCTTTTTTTCAACGTTCTATTAAAACGTACAAAGTTGAAGAGTGAACATTCTTTTACCTAGATTTCATAGTATCCTATTGCTTTATCTCTCCTTTTTTTTCTTTTTGCTTAACCACTCAAGTTCCAAACACTTCATCCGGTTACTTAAGAATAGATCTCCTAAGAACTAAGATATTCTCTTGTCTAACCGTATTACTGTTGTCATGTTGAAGAAATTTAACAATGACATGATAATATTATCTAAGTCCATACACAGCCCATATTCAAATATATCCTTTTGAGAGTCAACAGTTCAATCAAGTATCACACATTGCATTCACTTGTCATGACTCTTTAGTATCTTCTGGTCCTA